TTCAAGATTTATGTGGGTGGAGGTATAGATTCATCAGACTTAACAGAAGCAGAATTACTGAAAACAACATAATCAGTCTCAATATCTTCATGATCTAAAGGTTCTTTTTTTCATATAAATAATGGCAGACTTTTTCTGATTATCCTTTTAAGATTTTTCTTTAGTAGCATCATTATTAGAATCACAGAGGTCAATAATATCCTGAAAGAATTTTTAACACATAGATATATGCAATTTTAGCATATGAACCCTAGATATTACAACAATAAAAGAGATTAGGGTTTAGAAGAACATCTGGTTGTGTATCATCTTGCTTCTGTTCTGAAGATTGACAAGGATGAACTTCAGTGATAATTCCCATAAGGCCTCGCATATATGGGAGCTTCATCCCCCTTCGAAAGAATAAGCATAAGGGTTCGCTTCCAGGAGGGTCACTCTTCCCATTGACTACTAGCGCCAAGAGCTTTGAAGCTTCTAACTGAACCTCCTTTGGATGAAGATCTGTGAGCTTGGTGAAGTCGAAAAACTTAGACTAGTCAAATGAAGTATTTGGTTCCATTGAGGATTTGAGAAGTAAGAAAAAGAGGTTTTTGCTAGTAAAAATCTTGAAGATGAAAAACTTGAAGGTAGTCTGAAATGTTTTGCAGTTGGAGAGTTTTTGAGATAAAGATGAATGAGAGAAGAGATGCAGTTTTAAAGAACGATTTTATATGCCGGTCAGAGATCGTGTGAGATGTTGTGGCAGTTTATTTTGAATTGTGATTGACCCACGTCTTTCGCGCATTAAATGGGTAAGGCAGTTACAGACTTTTTCTCTCTTAGCAATGATGGTTCGTTCACAGATAAGAAAATAAAAAGACAAAAGACAATTTTTTAAAAGGACAAGTGAAAAAGAGTAGTGTAACACCCCACTTTTTCTAAAACTTAATTACAATTCTAATCCATAATTAACATAACTATGTAGCGGATAAATAACTTAAACAAGATAACTAGTGGGAATGTTACCGCCACAACCACCACTCCGTAGTGATTGCACAGGCTAAGGGTAGAACTAGAAAAACAAATAAATAACTAACCATCCAACAACTTAAATAAGCATAAGGGGATAAACACACCCCGATGTCTACATCATCGAAAATCAACAAAATATCATAAGTCTAACATCTGATAGATAACGACATAAACAAGACATAAAGAGTTTAGACATCTCAATCTAAAAGACTAGTCTAACTCGATCACTTCTCACTGCTGGGCCCACCTGAAAGGGGTTTTACAAGCAACACAGACAAATAGGAAAACACCCGTTAGCACGAAGCTAAGTATAACCACACTCAACCATGTAAAGTACTATAGCATATACTTTGGAAAATATTTGATAACAATCGTATATAGCAAACTCATCTCATAGACAGCTTTAGTCATATCACATACTTTCTATATGCTTGCAACCTATAATATCAACAGACATGCTTCGGTACAAAAGACTTAACAACTTAGATATTTCAACATGTAAGCGTCACAACAACTTAACAATCAACTCATGCTTACAAGTAATATCATGCTAATAAACCATACGAAATTTATTCTCATGCTCTCAAGTTCTCATCATGTAACTGGATATACAAGACTTCAAATGTAACTAAACAATCATGCTCGATACATAATCTTAAATCAACATTCTCATTATGCAATCTCAGGCAATACTCTACTCACATGCAATCTCGTCCAATGCTATAAACATACTCATATGCAATCTCGTGCAACACTATAAATACACTCATATGCAATCTCGTGCAACACTATAATATACTCATATGCAATCTCGTGCAATACTATACTCTTATGAAATCTCGTGGAATACTATAAATATACTCATATGCAATCTCGTGCAATACTATAAATATACTCATACACTCGTTGTAAAAATAGAGTACTTTCTGTGGAGGTCTCATTGAGTCATAAATGACTAACTTTCTTTCTTTCTTTCTTTAGAGTCGCAATGACTCACTTCTTTCTCTCTTAGAGTCGCAATGACTCATTCTTTCTCTTTCAGAGTCTCAATGACTCATACCTTCTCTTTAAATGGACGAGGTAGGAACTTCATCATGTGAATGAACCTATCTGGACACGGCGTCTAGCCGACCTAATACTCTGCTCGTCCACCGAACCACTCTCTTGGTTCTATGCTCAAACTCTATGGAATCATGTATCGAACTTTTAGCGTGCACACCCCCTAACCAGGATTCCAAGCCTGGCGGATAGTTTCCAACCTCGTAACGTGGGAATACACCGCGTTACATATACTGCGACCGCAATGTCCATAAAATCATCCGAGAGGACATAGTCCAAATGGGGTCCTCCAAAACCTCACCGATATAGATAATACATAAATATATATCTCTCATGCATCAATCTCATGCATGCAACAACTCTACAACTTCTCAATGCATCAAATAATGATATAACACATGCTTATGGATTTTTGAAAGTAATACTTGGGCTCACGTTGGCCCCTTATGCATTTTTGAAATATGATATATGTGAGATGCAAAAATACTCTACAACATGCTCCAAATCCATGTATAAAATCCATAAAATTCTTAAGGATATCATATCATACTCAGTTTGCAACATAGCAAATTCTATACAATTTCTATCAACAAAAGATGCTTCAAAACTCATTGATCAAATATCACATTTAGTCATGCTTTCATAATAAATCATATTCTCAAGTGCTCATGCTTCTCAACTCAATACAAAAATAATCATCAGATCACAGAGCAAAATATTTCTCATACACAGTGAACTCAACAATGTATACTGTGTAACAATTTCTTCAATAAATTCATCATAACATACTCATTTTTGATCGGAATTCAACGAAATCAAATTCAAAACGTGCATCGAGACGGTCCCGAGGTACCGAGCCATAAGGGACCGTGACACCTAGCCCGAAATGACACGTAGCTGATCCACAAGGGCCCGACCACTGCACAAAAATCTTCTAGAATGAAACTCAGGGACCTGGGGCGAGACTCCTCAAGAGCTGCCCCAAGTCACCCGTCACAAGGCCAGGCCTAGGCAACGGCCCTCTCCTAGGGCCATGCCCTAGGCCCAGTTGGCCCCGGCTCTAGCCGGCAGCCCTCCTGATGGGCTGTGGCTAGGGCCGCTGCTCTAATCTGTACACACTGTGTGTGCACCAGATGGAGATTTTCACCTGTAAAAACTATTCCAAGCATGTCCAAAACATTCTTAACACTTCAAAGACAAATACTAAATCACTTCCAAGCTTAAACACAACAAAATCTCATCATTTCTACTCAATAAAATAGGCTTCACAGAGCCAAAATCAAAGAGGGGGTCCATGGGGTTATACCTCTTGTTGCCTCTTCTTCTTGCTTGGATTCCTTCTTCTTCCCAACTCAACCACTACCCCCTTCACCACCTAGATGACTCAAACAAGCCAAACAACAACACTTAAAAGGAGAACCTCGGAGATTTGAAGCTAAAGAGAGGAAGCTAGATGAACAAGGATGAAAATGGACCAAAAACTTATTGTGTTTCTTCTTTCTCTCTTGCTAAGCTCTTGGGTGGGAAGACAAAGAATGGAATCAGGATGAAAGGTTGGCTTTCTATTGTTTTTATATGGGTTCAAAACCCTAGAAGGATACTCAATGATTGGTGGAGGGCAATGTGGTAAATTGGTGGTAGTCCTAGCAAAGATCAGACAAGGAGAAATGTCTTTTTGGTCCACCTTGCAACATGGACCATAGACTAGAAATGCTATTTTAAATACTTTGGGGTTGAAAATGAATTCTCTCAAAAAGTTTTCTAGATGAACACTTGTTTAAAGCTTCCTTGAATTCTCCCGGTTTCACTCAGATTGATTTTCTCGATTTAAAACTTGGCACACGAAGTACCCAAAAATTTAGGATTTTGGAATAAAATAAGTTTTGGTGTTGTATTAATTTAAAATGAGTCCAAAATAACTTATTCAAACACCAATTGATCCCAAAATTTTTTTTAATGGAGTGAAAATGGCTATTTTGGAATTTCTTAAAATTGAATTTATAAAATAAAATTTTGGGTTGTTACAAGTAGTTCAGTCTCGTTGGTATTGTAAACTATATAGAGAACTAGTCCTGTGATATAGTGCATATACCAAGTTCAAACTTTAGTAAATTGAACCTAGTGATGTCCAAGGGTTTTGTAAATATGCCCGCTAGTTGTTGTTCCGTAGGGATATAATGCAACTTGATCTCACCACTTTCTACCAGCTCTGGAATGAAATGATGTCGAATATCAATGTGTTTGGTCCGAGAGTGTTGAATTGGATTTTTAGCAATATTAATTGCACTAGTGTTATCACAATGTAAGTCCATAGTGCTGCACTTGGATCCATAGTCGTTCAACATTTGTTTCATCCACATTAACTGTGTACAACAACTCCCACTACAAGAAATCTTTCATTTCTCGACGAAAATGTTAATGACGCTCTAGAAAACGTCGCTAAATATAACAATTTGCGACGTTATATTAAATAATGTCACTATATATTTTGGTAGAGACAATAATTTTATTTTTGTAATATTGCTGACAAATTATAATTTTTTTTGTCAGTAAAGATATAAAATCAATGATGTTTTATAATAAATGTCCCTAAATGTTTTATTTTAAAAATTAATTTTAACATAAAACGTCAAGAAAAGTGAAAATATTTTTATGGGAAAACTATTTATCCTTTGCCGCCATCTTATACATAAAATTTTACAACCACAAATCTTCCTCATTTAATCTAGTGAACCCTCTTTGTCTCTAAGTCAACCAGTATTACTCTCTTTGTCTCTCAATCTCTCTATCTCTCGCAAACCCTAAAATCCTAATCGCAAATTCGCAACCCTCTCTGGCTTCTCTCCCTCACTTTGTCTCTTAATCTCTCGAAGGACTGTCATAGCCCTCTCGCCTGTCGCTGCTCAGGCGCTCACTGCCTCGCCGGTCGCCGCTCAGCCAGTCAACCTCACCACCTCACGGCCCTCACCCATTGCAGACTCTTGGTTCTTCACTTCTTCCAAGTTCCAACTATAAGGTAAGTTACTAACTTGCATACTAATTTTATAATTTCCATTTGATTATTTGTTCACTTTGATTGTTTAATTTATATAAAGAAAATCACACAAATGTTTATTTAAAAATTTACAGTGTTTCTCCAGTGGCTTAATTGTCGACATTGGAAGAATTTTTAGTTTCCAAGTTTAGTTTTTTATTCTTGTTCACTCTGATGAGTTTATAACTATTGGAATGGTTTTTGTTGAAATAAGAGAATGCTTTTGTTCCTCATGTGTTTGTGAAAATATCTCACTGATATGTGTTTTGTAACCACGAGCTATGTATCCTATCAATGATAATTTGTAATGCCAGAGTTCAGTGGCTTATGACCTGATACATGTAGTGGTGAACAATGTTATAATTTTTGTAATTTGTTATACCAGAGTTCTGTGTGTTTACTACTTTTCTTTGCGTATTTGCATATGGAAGGTCTTAAAATAGGAAAATGTACAATATGTTGTGGCGCCATATGAAGCAGATGTTGAAATGACCTTTCTGGCAGTCAGCAAACAGGTTGATGCAATTATAACAGAGGACTTAGATTTGACAGACTTTGGTTGCATTAGAGTAAGTTGTTGGCTGTTATTTATATGCATTTGTTCATTGTCTACCAGGAAATAAGAAAAACACAATTTTAGGTTATGAGATACTTCCTAGTTCCATCACTACCATCTTTTTGTTATACTTCGTTTTGTGCTCTAAGACCTTGGAGGCTTGGATATTTAGATTATTTACAAAATGGATAAGTATGTGCAAGGAGTCGAATTTCAGGTATGGGCAAGGGCTGACCTTGATCCTTTAACCAAAATGCCATTTCAAGTATCAATTAGACTCATTAGTTTTCAAAAAAAATTTCTTTTGTTGGAAATGTTTATTAATTGAATGTCAACATTGTTCTGTGTTTGCTTATTTCTTTTTTGTCTTAATTATTTTTTTAACTCATAGAATTTCCATTAACCAGAAAGAATGCGCTGACACTAAGTTGGATTATAGCCAAACCAATCAGCTGCATAAAAGAATCTCCTAGCCAACTATTTTTGTATCCTATACTCCTATTGTTCATTACTTGGCTCTCAATTTGTTTTTCCTCTTTATTGCAGAAACTACCTTTGACATGGTGGTTTTGTTCTCTCTGTTTTACTTACACACATACAATCATACATAACCCAGTGAGAAGCAACAATCAAAGCATGTAAGTTTTATCTCTCTCTGTGAATTCCAACCAAATTGTATTTGCGTTTTTGCTATTCATCTGTGAAAAAAAAAAAAATCTTTAGTTGTAATGGCCAGCTGAAGTAAATTAATGTGCTAATATTCAAGTTGGGTTAAGAGGCTAGGCTTAGTCATTAAGACACAATTGAGGCCTTGAATCAGAACCTGTTCCAACTCTTCACCCTTCCACCCCATCCACCGAGTAATGAAAATGAAAGAATATGCTGTTGTTGATAAATATTTTTTTTTATTTCCTTTGGTGGGTTAGGGAATTCTATTACTAAGGGCAGTATGGTCAATACTCTTGTAGTTTGTAATGAGCTAGAACTCAAAAAAAAAAAATACTACTTTTATTGCAGCCATCAAGTGATATCCACAAAAAGCGCTTGGATGTGGTAAGTAAAGAGTGTTATGCATATTTCTCTTTATGCATACACAATTACACACATATATTACCTTCCTTCAAGTTGGTTTACTTTAATTTTGATTACATGCTATATAAGCAACTAAATGAAATATTAGCAAAGAAAAGTTGTTGATAGAACTAATTGCTTCTATGTATTTTGTGTGTATAGCAGTGCATGTGTATATATTGAGAAGAGGAAAAGATTAGCTTGTATTCCTCATTTGATGAAAATGGATTGTAAGAAATAATTCTATGATGGAAATTAGCCCAAAAGCTTTCGTCTGCAATGGGTAGAGTACGTCTAGAAGAGAGGGAGGAATCCCCCTGTGACTTTGTGACTTAGTGTGTTGTGGAAAATGAAATGGCCTCCCCTGTCTTGTGTGTGGCACCCCCTTATATAGGTGGAGGCCCGACCCCGACCCGGACATCTGACCTGAACCCAATACCGACCAAATGTACAGAAGGTATAGGGCGGTATATCCGGGAAATTCCTTATCAGTTATGTTAGAAATTAAATATAATCATAAGAAAGTATAAAAGTGATGTAAATTAACTATCTAATTGAGTTGAATATATAGTTTTGAATAATTTATTACGCATGCTTGAAAATATTTATGTTTTTTAGTGGCAGGGAATTATTGTGTATCTAGATGTACTCATCAAATCAGACCTTCTTCCCAAGACAAAGGAGTTCCAAAGTGCTGACCTCAATAGTTTTGATGAACATGAGAATTATTAATCCATCTTTATGTGCACAGAACTGAGAGCTCTAGACATTGGGGACCGGTAAACGCAACTTGTACCTGAGCAAAAAGAAGCGATGCTTCCACTCTTTATTATTGTCGGGAAGGTAAGAAATGATGTAGGCCGGGCTCTTCGCTTGGATCATGAGAAAACCCTCGTCGTGCTTCTAGGAAGGGCTCGGACCGAGAAAAGAAAATGAAAGATTTCTAGTGTATAGGGGATATTGTGCTGAGCACATATCTAGGGGAAACAGGCTAGGATCCTATGGGTGTTCGGGCAAATCTGCCCAGGTAAGACCCCGTAATGTTGAAGGAAGGATGTCAAAAAGGGTATAAAAGGAAGGGTGATTAAGGTTTTTAAGGAGTTGAGGTGTACTGTAACCCGATCCAATCCGCTTGGTGACGGTCGATTATTGACCCAATAGTATGACGAGCATCGTACATAGCCCGATAGGCGAGGAGGGTTTTTAGGTCCAGAAACTCAGAAGGGGTTAGGAGGGGCCATCCCTCTACCTACCCGATAGTCAAAAACTTGTGTCTCCCGCTCCCGAGAGTCGGGGCTTGGATTTGAAGAGAGGGAGCGAGAGAAGGTTGAGAAATGACCAGGTCGAAGGGAGTAGAAGTTGGGATGGATTTTACCCGGGCCGAGGGCCTGCACCCTCGGGTGTAGAGGTGACGAGCGCACCCGGTTTCTCGAGTGGCTCGTCTGTAGTAGTGCCCGGTGAATCATATCAGACCTTGGAGAATTGATCAACCTCTTCAATTATAGTTACAAACGATGACACCGAGAATGAGCTGACTTCGACCGTGACATCATAATCCCTGATCGAAGGGTTATGGCTATCTGAGCCAGACATCGTACCCCATGAAATTAAAGGGCCTACAAATATTAATTCTAAAACATAAAGACAAAGCTCGAGATCGGGTCCTTACCGAGTAGTTTAGTGGAGAGCGTTCGACCTGATGAATTTGAAAAGGTATTCAAGCTCGGGAAGCTCTGCAAATTCTTTGCAAGAAAGCGTAATAGTGCCTTGCCTCAACGCCCTATTTATAAGCGGAAAAGGTGGGGGAATTTGAAAATCTCAAAACGAATCCCCAAGCAACTACTCTCCGTGCGACACGTGGCGACCATTTTGGTTTGAGCGTTGATATGAACATTCCCTCGTGGGCTGACATAACACGGAATCCTGGCCTGGATGACGACCTCTGAATTATACTTTCTACTTGGATTTATAGCCCGATCCCCTAAAGATATTGCCCTATCATGGGCCACAAACTAGGGGGGGGGGGGGGGGGGGGGAGAACTACTTGATAGGGAATATACCCCGGTCTACAAACTGTCTCGTACTCGGGACCTGCTCGGGTACGAATTGCCTCGAGACCTAGGTCTTTTCCCAACCTTAACAGACCTTGGTGTAGCACCTGTCCAACCCAACCTTAAGGATTGTCAACCCTGTAGCTTGATAGCAGTTACCCTAACCTTTCCGAGCTCGGTCCTAGCCTATTTGTTCGTCCGAGAACCCGAGCACGTATACTTAGCGTTCTAGTTGATCCCCATAAACAATTGGTTAGTCAGTTATGCTTTTACACGTGCTGACGTGCATAATCCTCTTCAGCAGATCGGACACCGAGTGCATGGAGGGCACGTGGCACACATATCGACCCCTCAACATGTGTCCCCTCAAATTCCCTATAAATACCCCATGAGACGTCTATAGAAGGAACTTTTAGACAATTTCTTTATAAACCATACTTAGCTCGGGAACCTCTGGCCTCTCGCCTTAAATCAAGTTTAATACCTTAGACCAACATGCAAAGCACTTCAGGGCCAACGCCTGGTCCGGTCTAGTACTTCGTAGTAAGCCCCATATTTACTACATCAAATAGTATAATAATTTTTTTTTTTAATTCTTAAAGTTGGCTCGCGGGTTAGCCCATGAGCTCGCATGAAGCGAGTTAAGGTTGAAGAATTCTAGCTCGTGGATTTCGCGCGTCGGCTTGCAGAAGTCTACAAAAATTACAACCCGCGGTCGGACATACTAGCTCGCATTGACACCCTAGCTGGGTTGTATTAGTTTATTGTGAACTATGGTCTAAAAATTTTATCCTTTTTTTTTTTTTGTACAACTAAAATCGAATTATTAAAAAATATCATCAAAAGTTTTTTAATTGAAAATTTTAAAATGACACCTATATTAATATTTAATTTTTAAAATTTGTAAAAATAAATTTATGTATTTTTTGCGAAAATCAAATCCCATCTTATCCATCAAACCAATATCATAAGAACCGTATAATTTTTATATACCTACTAGTTTTTCTACACGCTTTGTGCGAATGAGATAATGCCCAATAGTTATTTTTAAATAAGTATTTCAAAGTATATCAATGCAATATCATATAGAAGATATTCATGCATAGGTAAATAAATGTTTAATTTGTTTATTTAAATTGATAATTTAAAGTTTATAAATGCAAGATAATATATGAGAGATTGATTATATATAACTGTCACAAAAATAAATATTTGCAACTTTGTAATAACGCTAGTACAATCTAAGTACTTAGTCTAAAAGCGATAGTGTAAATAAATACCACTTTTGGTTTAAATTTCTCTGTTTCTCTTTTGGGTAGCATTGCCATTTTCTTTATCTTCAGTACATGTCCTTTTTTTTTTTTTTTTGTTATTAGTAGTGTGTCATGTGCAATTGGGTTATTGCCTTATTGGTGGTATCATAGAGGGATTCATCATGCAATGAGATTATGGTGTAGGAAGGTCTAGATTTGCCTTGTTGTGTATATAACTGTAATCTTTTTTTTTTTTTTGAAAGCAAAGGTGAATGCATATATTACTGAAGCAAAAGAGCAATAGAGTCAGGGGGGACAGAGTCCCAATACATAGAGCTAGCCGGAGTGTAGGCAGCTGAAGCAAGAGTATGAGCTAGAAAATTAGCTGATCTAGGCACTAAATTAATTGAGCAGTAAGGAAACATAGACATAGCTATCCTACACTGATGAACCACTAAACCAACGTAGGAGAAGGTAGTGACTTGATCCGTAGACAAATTGGTACGAAGCTCTGAACAGTTGTTGAAAAGATTTACCAATAAGATCCCCCGGCCCTTGAGTCATGAGAGCACCTCCTTGCAAGCCATAGATTCGGTCATTAAAGGCGAAAGACAACCCGAAAGCTTCCCGTTGCAAGCTGCCAAGAACCCACCGTCGTGTGAGAGAATAACTGCCCCAAAAGTCGCTTCCCCCGACGCCGACTGATAACCAACATCGAAGAAACAGCGTACTGCCTAGGCCGAAGTGGGTGCGACGCTGGAGGCTACTGTAATTCGCTGCTGGAATGGGTGAATCTGCCTCCAAGCTTGAAGAGATGACATCGTTGTCCACCAGGTTCCTTTCGACTGCAGCACACTTCCATCCCAAACAACTGAGTTTCTTGCCCTCCATAAAGCTTAACACACTGTTACTATAAGTGTACAAAATTGATACACATTTATCCTATCATTGGTTGGCAATTTATGTCACAATTAAATTAGATCTTGTTTAAAATGAAGCCTTGGACTGTCTCCTATCATATGGTAATTCTTCTACTGTCTCATTGGTTATGTACGAAATCAAAGTGCATATTTTGGAAGAGAAGTCAGCATGTCAGATGGTCAAAGCTATTACTATGGAGTTATGGTTTATTACAAAAATAAGTGGATGGCTTTTATTTTGGTGAAGGCAGTTAAAGCAAAAATCATTATAAAAAGGAGTTCCTAATTAAAGATCACGAACTTCTATGCTACTTTTAGAGAAATTTTCAAACACTCCACTATATTAATTCTAGTTTCTATATTGATTGAAAAGTGAGATCACGCCTGACACAGTCAGTCTTGACTTGGTTCAGCGGCATCAACTGGTGAAGTCAAAGATGGCATGCATGCTCCAATTCTGTGAAAGATGTTTCGAAGGTTGTAGTTGGTTGTAGTAGCTGTTAGCCGTGTGTACTAACCCCTTGTAAACCTTGGCGAACATCTAGTGGATTGGGCACACATGGGTTGCTCCGCAGACATAGGAGAAGTGCTCCGAACTGCGTGATCAATTCTTGTGTACTTGGTTTTATTTCTTTCCTTTATTTCGTTATTTATTTTCACTAAATGACTTAATTAATTGGTACGATAATTTCTAATCTAAAACCAATTAAACCATTAAGAAATAACTTGCATTCAAGATACACGGTGTAATTTTTGCTACAAT